GCTTATGGGGGTGAACAGCAGGACACCACAGGTGAAATATACACTGATGGTGCGGGACGGGCCCACATTGGCTGGCCTGAGGCGGCGAGAGCGGGATGGGGCATTGCGCTTATGAGTGGCACGCAGCTTCGAGGGCTAGCCTTTGGGCCGTTGCCAGGGTATCAACAGTCCGTCCCTCGAGCAGAGATGTACGCAATCGTAATGGTGTTGCGAAACGGAGTACTTCCTCTTCACATTCACACGGATTGCATGATGACGATCGAAGGGCTCCAGAAAGGACGTCAATGGTGTTTGCATCGTCGCAGGCAGCACGTGGACCTGTGGCGGGAGCTCTGGAGACTCCTCGATGATCATGGTGGCCTGAGCTCGGACCTCACCATCAGATATGTGAAGGCCCATCAGACTGCTGAAGAGAGTTTTCATCATGAGGGCAAAAAGGGCAATGACTACGCGGATGTTGCAGCCAATAGAGGACTTGCATTTCATGGCATACCAAATGCGGCTCGGGACACACATCGACGATTGCTCGAACGAGTTCGTCAGGTGGCATGCTGGATCGGATCGTCCCAGGAGCTGACGGACCCGCACCCCGACCGCGTCGCGCCGATGTCCCGCCGCCGCAGAACCCAGCAGCGCAGCCGCAGCCGAAGGCGCCAGGCGGCAGACCGAGCGGCACGGCGGCGACGCCCGCAGGTGCTGCCAGGCGGATGGCAACGGCACGCCCTTGAGAGTGCGGCCTGTGGGTGGAAATGTCAGCACTGCCCTCGTTTCGCTAGGTCCTTTCAGGGGGCTCGTAGGATGGCTCAGCAGTGGTGCACCGTGAGATCCCGTATGAGCCCCTTTTTGTCTCCGCAGGCTCACGAGGCCTCGAGCACTGGGAACCCGAGGCCGAGTGAGGTCCCCTCGGAAAGAGCCACGGAGCCTTGGCCAAAAAGGCCTTTCGAGGACTACCAGGACCAGGCCAGGTCGGTTCGGCATCGGGTGGAAGTCCCTTCTCCTGTCGTGACTCCTCCCTCCTCGCCTCCGCCCGCGCCGTCGACCAGGTCCCAGGCCAGGCCGTTGGATGAGCTTGCGGAGCCTCTTGTTCGAATGGTCCGACCTCGGGTGACTTTTGCCACACGATCCCAAGGGATTGTTCGGGAAGCAGCCCTGGCAGTGGCCCCTCTGGCGTCCTCGGGGAAAAAGCGCCCTCGCCTTCTGGGGCCCCCATCCAGGGACTTGGTGCCCGAGGCCGCTGCCAAATTAGAGGGGGAGGAGGCTGTGTCGTCGACGTCGCGTCACGTTCCGAGTCGCTCCTCCGCCGAACCCCCTCGGGCCCTCCTTCCCACTGTTGGGCTCGTGCCCCCTGAGGCGGCCAGGGGGCACATCCTTTATAGGGCGGGTGGTCTCATTGGATGCACACGCTGTGGGTCTTTCTCAGAGCGCGCAGCCATATCAAAACTGTTTGCCACGTGCGACCCCTCGGTCCTGGTGGGAAATCCTCAGCGCAGGCGGCGCAGAGATAATTTCGTTTCGGGGAGGCACCCGCGTGAGGGGAGGCGCCACCCGATTCCTCTGCCTCGCCGAATGCTGGTTCCGGATCCTGCCGTACAGTGGTTGGGTCTTCTCACGTAAGTGAACATTTATTCATCTATTGGTTCGCTCATGCCGATGGGCATGAGTCTGAGCACGCCCTGTCGCCGAGAAGCGGGTGCTGGGCTATAGCAGGCTGTGCTCTGTTGGTGTGCGATTGTGCGCCCCTCGTCTTGTCCAGTTCTCTTTCCTGGTCCCATGCCTGAGCTCAGCGCGTCGCTCTATCTGCGTTTTACCCTCTTCCTCCTCCTCCTCGTTTCGTCCTTTTCCCTTTCCTCCTCCTCCTCCTCTTCCTCCTCCTCCTCCTACTCCTCTCCCTCCTCCACCTATTCCTCCTCCTCCTCCTCCTCCACCTCCTCCTCCTCCTCCTCCTTATTGTCCTCCTCCTCCTCCTCCTTTTCCTCCTGTTCCTCCTCCTCCTCCTCCTCCTCCTGTTGCCCCGCCTCCTCAGAATCATTTTCCTCTCCCTCCTCCTCCTCCTCCTCCTCCTGTTCCCCTTCCTCCGCCTCCTCCCCCTCCTCCTCCTCCTCTTCCCCTTCCTCCTCCCGCGCTTTTCACATTGTTGTTGATATCGTTCGTCGCCAGGCTAATATAATCATTACTCGTACTACGATTACGGTTGTTCTCACAGTGTACTTGCTATTATTTCCAACATTAACAGTATGAGTATAAGTGGTATTAGAAATATGTTTGATCGTGTTTCCGTTATTCGTCTTACGACTACCCTGGTTATCCGTAGCATTGTCGTTATTGTTAATAGTCTCAAACATCGGATTCCTATTATTCGTGTGACTATAACGAATATTAGTATTGGAAGTGGCATTGCTACTATTATGTTGAAGTTACTAGCCTTACGATCCTTAATATCAATACTCTCTTCCACCTCATCCATCACTTTCACCGCCACCTCCCCCTTCTCCTTTTTTCCTCCTCCGGCATCACCGGCATCATCGTCATCAGCATCCGTATCATCATCAGAGCAATCATCATCCTCATCCTCGTCCTCGTCCTCCTCCACCTCCTCCTCCTCCTCTTCCTCCTCCTCGCCCTCCCTCTGCCTCCTCCAATCACCTCCTCCTCTCCCTCTTTCGTCCCTCCGTCCCACCGTCCCTCTCTCGTCCCCTCCCTCACACCCACACTCCCCTCCTCCTCCCCCTTCACTGGTCCTCCCCTCCTCGCGACCATCATCCGTCTCCCTGTCCTCTCCCTCTCCCGCTGACTCTCTCTCTCTCTCTCTCTTTCGTCGTCGTCTCCGCCACGGCCTCCCATCCGACTGCTCTTCCTTTTGGATTCTCCTCGCATTATCCCACATCCCTCCCTCTCCTCCCTAATCGCCTCTGTCGCCTTCCTCCCCCAAGGCCCCCTCCTCCGTGTGAGGCCACGGAGCGCTCCAACCCAATCCGAAGCGCCGCCTCTTCTGGCCCAGTCATCTTCATCATCCCTCCTCGTCTTCCCGTCTGGTCATCATCAGGATGCCCTCCGATGTCTGCCTCTGCGGGCCTCGCCGCGGACGAACGCCGGTCGAAGCCAAGATGCGTGATCGCGTCGAGTGAGACAGAAAGCCAGTAGGCCTTTCGACTTTTTTTTCTACGACGACATGGGAGCGAAGAAAGCCTCTGAACGTTCCAGGTAGGCTGCGATGGACTAGACCACGCTGGGCGTCCCCGCCACCCCGACCGACACAGAAGCCCCGGCCTTCCGACGCCTCCGCATCCATTTCCCCCTGGCCCGGCGCAACAGCCGCTCATCGCCCCGCGGCGGGCCGCAGCCCGCCGACGAAGAAGCTTCGGGCCAGCGCGGCGCGCGCGGCCTCAAGTCCAATCGGAGCGGGTCGACGCTTGAAAGCAACCCCACTGGGCCAAACGAATCGCGAGTGCCCAGGGATCAGGAAAGGGAGAAGAGAAGTGCAGAGAGCGACACACGAGGACGGACACGGGCAGAGGACAGAAGAGCTGGCCCCGCCCGCAAGCGCTCCTCCTGCCCCGCTCCCCTCCGCCCCCCCTCGGGGCAGCCACCGCAACTGGACCTGGCCTGGCCATGAACGTCGCGCCTGGCCCCCATGGGGGTTCCTTGCGCCGCGTTTGGCATTTGGGGCACCGTGTCCCCGACCCCTGATCACCCGCTGGACGATTTGCTCCCCACCCCTCCGATGGGGGATGTATGGGCCGTCTCCTCCGGCCTTCGAGGGGCACATTCCCAACAGGGTTTTGAGCTGGTGGGGGTCTTGATGGGGATGGGCATGGGGATTGGGATGGGGAAGGGTCGGCTACACGATGCTGACCTCTGGAGGCCTGCGGGCGCGCCCCCCGCTCCCCCCATGGGCCGCGCCCTTCCTCGTCGGCGCCCCGCCGCCTGCTGGGCTCGGCCTGGAAAGCTTGGCGGCGTCGGCCTGGGCCTCCAGGGAGGGAGGCACACGGCGCGGTGCCTGCAGGGCCCTAGCGGGGCCTCGGGCCCGGTGGGCGTGCAGGCCAATCCGTCGCGAAGCCGTGCTGAACCTCTGCACCGCTGATTCGAAACACCCGCTATGCTAGCACTCGGCCAAACTCACCGTCATCATGATCACCATCAGCAGCAGCAACGCCATCAGCATTACCATCACTATCAGCATGAGCATCAGCATCATCTGCAGCAGCATGAGGATCAACACAATCATCAATATCAGCATCGCCATCATCATCAGGATCGTCGTCGTTATCATCATCACCGCCATCACCATCACTATCATTCCAATACAATCAAGATCAAACATATTCCACCCTCTGCGTCGCTTCTCTTCTCTTCTTCCTCCTCTCCTCTTCCGCCTCCTCCTCCTCCTCCTCCTCTAGATCACCCTTGTCTTCCTGACCCGCACCCCCGCCCCCTTGCTCTCCCTCCCTGTCTGCGATGTGCAACTGCACGTGGATCGTACAAGTTTAGCCGTCATCGCTTTGGACGCGGGAACACCATGCCCGCCAACACAGACGGACCATTGCCAACCAGCTTGTAACATGTCGAGCACCATGCTGGACACTCTCGAAGCCCGTCCGCAAAACATATGCGTTACTCGAATTGCACGCTTGTGGGCGCGCGCGCGCATAACGCAAAGCCTGGCTGGCCACACCGTCCAACAAAACATTGCCACCACGCCAATTTCATCAATGTGTCATGCTCGCCTGCGCTCTTTCTACGGACTAGGTACGCATCCGTGAACGAAGCCGTGATCTGTCACGAAACACGTTGACACTTCGGGGTATCGTGGGTGTGAGACATCATCTGCTACTAGGCAATTTGTGAGCTCCACGGACTGAACGAAGACCCCAACTCAAACTAAACTGATCGCCGCCCCTTTGGCTTGGACCGTGCGCGAGGTAGCAAGGAAACTATATTTCCAACGACAACACGGGCGCCGTCCTGTACCCCATCCCTGTACCCCCATTTAACCACAAGGTACCCCCCACAACCACCAAGGGCTCGGATACATCTGAGACGGACCTATGGCTTGGTGCACCGATATCTCGATGACGGCCACCATGACGACCCGTAACAGGCTGTGCACATGAACTCTAATGAATCCAGCTCCCACTTCAAGCACGTGCCTTCTCAACTACAGCAAATGCCCAGACCTTTTTGTTTTCATGCGTGGCGCCGACAATGAACCCAATGTGATCAGCCCGAATTAATTGTGAGGTCTGCGTGGTAGACGAACAAAACGTCCTCCTCGTCAGGGGGACAGACACTAGGGGTGAGCAGTGGGGCCCACGAAAAAAAGCAGGCATCCGAGTGGGGAGCTCCCTCCCTCGGGAATGGGACGCTGGGCGCATTCCCGCTTGGGGTGCAGGCCGGGCTCGGGCACCAAGAAACGCGCAGCCACGATGATCATCACTGTTATGATGACCCATGCTTCCTGCGAGCAGAACAGGTGACGCTGCCCAATCTGCTTGAAAATGAAGGCGTGGCTCAGCCAGAGGGAATGCCCGATGCTGCACGTCTGAGTGCGGAGTCTGAATCACAGGCCCCAGAGCACACGAGCAGGATGCTGATGATGGTGCTGATGATGCTGCTGGTGATGGTGACGGTGGTGGATGGTACTAGTGATGATGATGATGATGATGATGATTATTATTATGATGATGGTGATGATGGTCATAATGATGATGGTGATGATGACGGTATCGGCGGAAGGCGGAGGGAGGTCGCAGGCGCCCCCCGCGCTCCTCCCCGCGGCGGCGCTAGCGACAGCAGAGGCGCGTGGCCACCATGGCAAGGCGGCCCGTCAGGCTGCGCACTGGTGGCGCCTTGGCATCGGAGATGGCCTTGACGATGTCGACGAACTCCGGCTTCAGGGACGCGCCGCCGACGAGAAAACCGTCGATGTCTGGCTGCGCCGAAAGCTCTGGGGCATTCTTGGCGTTTGCGGAGCCGCCATACTGGATGCGGATGGCCGCAGCGACCGCGGGAGAGGCATTCTTTGCGATGAGGTCGCGGATGCCCTTGTGCGTTGCCTGGGCGTCTTCCGGCGTCGCGGTGAGCCCAGTGCCGATGGCCCAGACGGGCTCGTAGGCGAGCACCACCTTTGCGGGGTCGAGCATCGAGTAGACCTGCTTCAGCTGCACGTCCATCAGCGCCAAGGTCGCTGAGAGCCCCTTCTCGCGCACCTCCTTGGGCTCGCCGATGCAGTAGACGCACGACATGCCCGCGTCCAGTACGCACTTGAGCTTGGCGGCCAGCGTGGCGTCGTCGTCCATCTTGAAGATCCCGAACTCGCCGCGGCGCTCGGAGTGGCCGATCATCACCTGCTTCATCTTCAGGTCCTTCATCTGCGCCACGGCCATCGAGCCGGTGAACGCGCCGCACCCCTTGGGGTTGCAGTCCTGCGGCGTCACGAGGGCCTTGTTCTTGATCTTCGGCACAACGTACGGTACGTGCAGCGTGGACGGGCAGACGTAAACGTCGCACCTGCAGAAAAATAACGCCACGAACATAAACTTGTGGCGCTCCGCGCGGACCGCCAAAAGTCTATGTTGATTGCGTTTTTCTTCGTCGAGCCTGCTCGTGTCGCAAGCGTTGATGTTCTTGATGAGGTCGTCGAGCTTGGACACGCTGTCCGGGTTGCACTTCCAGTTGCCGCCCACGACTGGCCTGCGCCCCATGGCTGCCGCTCCAACACCAGAAGAACGGAGTAGCCAAGAAAATCTCGCCCCGAAAACCTCGCCTGGCAAATCCTGAGCGAAGACGGCGGTGATGATGACGGTGACGATAACCACGCTGGCGCGATGCGCAAGGCCATAGAAGAAGAAACAACGCCCCCTCATAACCTTTTGGCGCTCCGCGCGGATTTCTTGTATCCGCGTTGGAATCCCCTCCCTGGCGCGCGGAGCGCGCCAGGGGCGGCGCTGGAGGCGCCGCCGGGGAGGCTCCAGCGCAGATCCAAGAGATCCGCGCAGAGCTCCAAAAGCTTATGCTTATGCAGTTTTTCTTCTTTTTCGAAGGAGGAGGAGGAAGATGGCAGCGTTCATCACCGAACCCCAGCGCCACCAGTTTCAGTACTAGGACGGCGAACGACGGAGGCCCGCAGCAGGGATATCCGCCACACAGCTCGAAGTGCTCTAGGACTGGCTTACTGCCGACGAAGACGACGATGACGACGTCGACGACGGCAACCCTGCCCCGCTAGCCACCGCAAAATGGAGAAAGTACGGCCATCCCCGATCGAAGCCAGGGCTCTGCGGGCCGAACCCACGAGGGGCTGCGGATGAGCCCTAATCTCCGACGCAGCGTGTGTAAGTGTGTCTGTGTGTGTGCGTCGGGCAATCCGCAATGCCGACTGCCACTGCCACTGCCGCGCTGCGACGTAAAACGTGTGTGTGGGTGTACTGTGTTGTGTTGTGTTGTGTTGTGTTGTGCTGTGTTGGGTTGTGTTGTGTTGTGTTGTGGTGTGTTGCGTCGTGCTGTGATAGGTGGTATGGTGTTGTGTTGTGTGTGTGTGCGCGAGCGTGCGGGCGTGCCTGCGAATGTGTGTTTGTATGTGTGTGTGCGTGTGCGTGTGCGTGTGCGTGTGCGTATGTGTGTGTGCGTCGGGCAATCCGCAATGCCGTCACCCGGCTTGCCCGAGCGCGCGTGCGGACTGCCTCCGCCGCGCTGCCGCGTAAAACGTGCGTGCGGGTGAGTTGTGTTCTGTTGTGTTCTGCTGTGCTGTGCTGTGCTGTACTGTGATGTGCTGTATTGTGTCGGTTTGTGCTGTGTTGTGTTGTGGTGTGGTGTGGGGTGTGGTGTTGTGTTGTGGTGTGTGATGCTGTGTGGTGTGGTGTGTTGTGGTGTTGTGTGGTGTTGTGTTGTGTTGTGTTGTGTTGTGTGTGTGCGTGCGAGCGTGCGAGTGTGTGTGTGTGTGTGTCTTTGTCATAACGTCGACCCCCATGAGGGCGCCATGGCGTGAAGGAGCCGCGCCACGCTGTTGCGGGGCTGGAGGCAGAGCCACAGGTCCACGTGCTCCTCGCCGCGCGCCCCCCCCCCCCCCCCTGCTGCCTCTCGATCTCCTGCTCGCCTCTGCTGCACGACGCGGGCAACCTTGGCCTCGAGGCTCTTTCAATAGAGGGCTAACATCCACCCCCATAATAGCAACCCTGGCAAGCGAGGCCGCTTAGTAAACGCACCCAAACAAGGAATCAAACAGGGCAGGGCTTTTGATAAACGCCCAGGGTCGTTTAGTAAACGCCAATTGCCTGGTCCGGGTGGATTTTTCTCCCTTGATTCAAGCCTGTCGAGATGTTATTCCACTTTCTTGGCGCACACTGCAGTGCAAACATCCGCAGGGCCGTCGACGTCCCCTGTCCGCCCCCACCGCGCAATGTGTGCTAGAGATACCATGCCCCCTCGGAATACTGCGCCGCATGCGAGGAATGCACTCTGCGGGAGCAACCCCCCTCCGCCTCCCCCTCCTCCTCCTCGTCCCCCCCCTCATCCTCCTCCTCCTTCTCCTCCTCCTCCTCCTCCTCCTCCTCCTCCCTCCTCCTCCTCTTCCTCCTCCTCCTCCTCCTCCACCTGTTGCTGAGCCTTTGCTCGCCACCAAATGGTGCCAGATATTGTCCTCGACCCTCGAAAAACCTGGAGGGAGAACTCCGGTCGGCTCTGGGGAGTTCCTGAACGCTCCCCGCTCTCTGCCACTGGTTGGGCCCCTGGGGGCCTCCGGACGCCTCGGGGCGCCTCCGGGGACGTCGGGGGGGCCTATGGAGGTCGGGACCCACGGAAATGTGGACCCCATGAGGCGGGGGGCCTCCCGCTCGAGACGTCAGCGCGATTCGCTCACTAACGAGGCTCCCGCTCGAGTCCTCCTCCAGGGTCAAGCCCGAGGAGCCCAAAGGTGACGACGATTACAGGTTCAGATGGCCCCGCTCGGGATTTTAACATGGAGGTGGGGGCCCCATAGGGAAGGGCTCCCGCTCGAGAGTTCCACGCGATTCACTCACTAACGAGGCTCCCGCTCGAGACTTCTCCAGATTAGGGTCCGAGGAACTCAAAAATGTTGGCGGTGACAAGGTTCGGATGGCTGGGCTCGGATTGCAATATGGAGGTGGGGACCCCATAAGGGGGGAGGAGGGCTCGCGCTCGAGAGTTCCTCGCTATTCACTCGCTCACGAAACTCTCACTCGAGACTTCGTGAAGATTGATGTGTGGGTGTGTGAGCGGATGCTTGAGTGTGTGCGACGATGATCGTGGTGTGGTGAAGGTGAATGCGAACACATGGAGTGATGGTGATGATGCTCATGATGATGATACTGACGAGGATGATGATGCTGAAAATCATGATGCTGACCGATGGGTCATTATGGGAGCGTGGAAGAGATTATGCAGGATGGTTGTGCGACGAGGATGATGACCATGATGGTGATGAGGATGTCGATGATGAAGGTTATGATCGTGATGATGATGGTGATGATGGCGCTGATGAAGACGATAACGCTGAGGATGATTATGATGCTGATGCTGGAGGAGATGATGAGAATGGTGATGATGATGACTATGATGATGCTGATGGAGAAGATGAATAAGATTATGATGCTGATGATGATGATAATGATACTGCCGATGCTGATGGTGATTATGGTGATGATGATGGTGATGATGATGAGGATGAGGTGGGGGTGTTCCTGTTTCTGTGTTCCTGCGCGGGGTTGTTGTCCTGAGCAAACAAAAAACGTAGGAGGTGTGGGCAAAGAAGGCTCTGCTCCCCATGCAGAATGTGTATTATGCGTGTGAGGAGCCTGCCTTCGGTCTCGCCCAGGTGAGGAAGAGCCCCTCCCCTCCTGAAGGGAAGCGACTCCGTGCGCTATCTCGCGCTCTGCCGGGGGACCCGAATCAGTATGGTGACCACACCGCATACTGATTCAATGGGGATTCGGGGTCACCACGCGGTTTGAGGACTCGTGGCGTTCTCCGAGGACGTCTCGGCGAGGTCGTTGGAGACTCCGAGGTCACCACGCGGTCCGCCACCACCCAGTATGGGGGGCCCGAACCTCCCGTCCCTGGAACGGGCACAGAGGATCATTGCTGTCGCGGTAGCACATCGCCGAGCAAGACGGACAACCGTGCACGCGGTCTTATAAAGGCCTCCTAGATGGGGTCCGAGTGGATGGGGTCGGAGGATCGCGATCGCGCCGCATCGCCGACGCATCGGCGATGCATCGGCGACGTCGGCGGTGTATCGCTGACGCGTGCGGAGGAATCCAAGGCTCCAGATCGAGCCGCGTCGCCGATGCAGCGGCGACGCGGCGCGATCCCCCGACCCCATCTGCTCCGAGCCCACCTGGGAGGCCCAGCTCTCGGCGGCGAGAACTGCCGGAGTGTGGAGAACGCGCCCTCCTACCCTGCCCCGCCCCTCCCGGCCAGGTCGGCCTCAGGCTCCGCTGCTCCGCGTCTGCCCGTCTGCAGCTGCGGCTGGTCCTGCTGCTGCTGCTGCTGCTGCTGCTGCTGCTGCTGCTGCTGCTGCTGCTGCTGCTGCCCCCCGCCTGACAGGGCAACGCTGGGGCGACGCCAGGGCGAGCTGGAGTTGGCGACACATCGCTCCTCCTCCCTTCTGAACGGGCAACGTTAGGGCAACGCTAGGGCGAGCTGCTGCTCATCCCTTCTGAGGGGGCAACGTTAGGGCAACGTCAGGGCGAGCTGCCCCTCCTTCGACTACACGCATGGCTCACCCTGGGTAAGAGTGACCTTTGGTGCGCGGCTTTTTGGGGGCCGCGGGGGGACCAAGCACAAGCGCGCAGGACGCTACTGCTGCATCGCGTTCGGGCATCGGGGGACCCCTATCGCGTCCGCACTTAAGGTCACTCGGGCTAAGGTTAGATCGGGCGTGTCCTCCTACAGGCGGATTTTGGACGACAAATCAAACATATTCAAAACATTTCAAACATGTTGAAACACAAAAATCGCTCCCAGACAATGTTTTGACCATACTTGATTCTTCCTCCTGTAGAAAGAAAGGCCCGACTTGAGGCGAAGGGCCGCTCTCACGTGTAGGCGACTCATCCCTGCATGAGGGGCAACGTTACACGGGGGGGACGGGAAGGACCGGCTCAGGAGAGGGGGGGAAGCACGGCGAGCTGGAGACCGCCGAGATGCATCGCCGACAGCTCGGCCACCGGCGCCCGCCGCAGGGAAGCCGCAAAGTCCCTCCGCGGAGGAGGCCGCCGGGCCGAGATCATTGGGTCGGGCGTGTCCTCCTGCAGACTGATTTTGAGTGAGAAATGCAAAATTGTCTAAAAGTCTAAACATGCTCAACAAATGTGCAAAGATACGCAAAACATCGTCCCCGGACTATTTTTCCCCCTGTAGAGGGACACGTCCGACAAAACCCTATCAGCGATGCATGGGCGATCCCACACCCATGACGTCAGGAGTTTTCCATAACGACCAGCCTCAGAAGGCTCTCCACTCATCCGAAGTCGTTTCTTGACGGTCCCGAGGGCCCGCCAAGGGCCCCCAGAGGCCGACAAAGTCGGGACAACCTCCAGCCATGATTTTTTCAATTGCCCCGAGGGGGCCTGGGATTGGGGGGTGGTGCATCCCCCCCTGGGCCCATCCCCCCGACGGTGCCCCTGACCACCTCCCGGGAGCCTTCTGGGGCGCCTCCGCCAGGGGTGAGAGGCGGGGCTCCTTGGCCTTCCTGTACTGTCCCAGCTTGAGGTGCGTGAGCGACAGGTGGTGGAGCACCTCGTGGGGCCCACTGAGGACGGCGAGGCGGAGAGAGGGGGGGAGAGAGAGATGGAGGGACGGGGGAAAGGAGGGAGGGAGGGAGAGATGGAAAGAGAGAAAGAAGAGAAAAGGGACGGAGAAAAGACAGCAAGCATTCATGGTCGGGCGATCC